ATGTACAGTACTGCAAATTTTTACTCAGCAGCTCTGCAGAACAGCAGCTCAGTTCCGGTTCAGCAGACCTACCCTGCAGCGATGAAGCCCACCGCCCTGTCCAGGTTGATGTGTGTTTGGATAATTGAGCGTCAGGAAGCTTCAGGATTATTTACGATTTTCCTGCCAGTTCTGTGAGCTTAAGTAGATAGATCATTACTTCTGACTTTGCGTTGTAAAACTTTCACTCCATTTCGGCAGAAAGCAGCGGCCGGAAGCACTGTTGGCTTCTGGGTAGTGCAGTTTTTTTGTCTGGTGTTACAGTAAAGGCTTATTGAAAAAAAAAACCTACAATATGGCAGCATCTGCCTGAAGTATTCTTTTTTCCCGTACCGTCCCAATCACGTGAGGAATATTAGAGTTGACAATTGTGTGCCGTGTACAATCTTATGTTGAAAAACTGCAAGAGTGAGTTTGCGAAAGTCAAACCATGACGTAGCGAGGGACTACTGTACTGATTTTCTTTTATTATATTCCTTGTTTTTTCTTTTCACTCTATTTATTTTGCAAATATGCAGAACTGATTAAGCTGGCTCTATTTGTCATCTAATCACTTACAGATCATGTGAAAATGTGCTTTTATTAGTTTATTTGTTATTTGTCATTTGTGTTTTTATTTGTTTATTTTACAGTTGGAGTTGTATACATGTATCTAGCTCACTCTAAATAAATTTACAGCATGATGGAAGAGCATCCATAGTTCATATTTTGTGTTTAGTTTTTGACCTCGTCACTTCACTCAACACAGCTGAGATCCAGGAGTGATGATAATAAATTTTCCCCTGGAGAGCTTTAATGCCTTCAGGTGGATACAGCTTGAGGAGCTCAGCACCAGTTATTATTTTCAATCTACTGTGGGCCACAGCTGTTCTAAAGCCATTTCCTCTGCTGGAGACTTCAGACCTTAAGAGGAATATTTTATATAGTAAACACATTTAGCTAGGGGGCTAAGCTGCAAGTACCCTATAGCTGTTTCTTAACAAAACATCTCCAACCACTGTAGGGAATATACTACCAAGTAATAACACATCTGCAGCTCATATTTTATATGAAACGTGCTGAAGCTTCAGTGAAACAAAAAGAGGTTGTATTTGAAGTTAGCTATAGGTTTGGCTGTATTTTATTTTATTTTTCTAGGCAACAAAGAAATGCAGATGTGATTGGATATAAGGAATAAGCTGAACTATCTCATATGGTCATTTTGTTCCTCTAATGTATATTTTAGATGAAACCGAAACAACTGAATGTCAAGCTAATGCACATCATTACACTAAAGATGCAAACGTTTGCACCGGTCTTGTAGCCGTCCCCAAAATGACAAAATCTAAATGAAAACTATGAAGCCAAAAGTACTTGATTGAGTGTTGCTGTTTTGCTACAACATACATCAATAAAAACAAATGTGTTAAAATGCATTTATGAGCAAAAACAAAGTCAGCCACATTAACAGTCCAATGACTTTATGAGATTGTTAAGCACGCACCTCCCACAGACAACAATAATACCTACTCACATTATATGATCTCAGTTTCTAAATAATTCAGCGGTACTATCCGATGTTAACAGGGAAGCTGTTTCTACCCTGAGTAGTGTTGCACTTTATAAAGAGTATTTGAATAATCAGGAAAAACAGCAAGGACAGCAGCGTGAGGACAACTATTATTCCAAAATGGTCTCCTGAAGCAGATCATCCAACATTGGCCGGAAAACTTAGCTTATGAGATGTTAGTGCATGAGAAAAGGTATGTTTGAGGAGTGGAGATGTACATCAGAACTTTTGTCTTTTTTTGTTTAGTTTAGTTTTAGTCTCCTGAATAATGTTAAAATAATCTTTCTGTCTGTCTGAATCTGGTTCAGGTTTAAATGAGGGTTAAGACTCGTTTTCTAAGTGAAGTGCTTTAGTTTTCAAACAAGAGACAAACACGTTTGCTTTTAAAAATAAGTAGCATAATGCGATGAGTCCAGCTACAGGCTCTCCAGGTGTTCGGAGAGCTGGTGTAGGAAGAACAACCTTCACATCATTGTGATGAAGACAAAGGAGATGGTTGTAGACTTCAGACGGAACAAACACACCTATCCCCGCGAACATAGGAGGATCTGCGGTGGAAGTGGTCTCCAGCTACAAGTACTTGGGGGTGCACCTCAATGACAACCTCAGTTGGGGCAACAGCACTACCAGCCTGATCAAGAAAGCTCATCAGAGACTCTACTTCCTCAGGTGACTGAGACGAGCTGGTCTGGGAATCTCAGTCCTCACCTCCTTCTACAGGTGTGCAGTGGAGAGCATCCTGTGCTCCAGCATCAACGTGTGGCGTGGAGGCTGCACAGCTGCAGAAAAGAAACCTCTGCAGAAAGTGGTGAAGGCTACACAGAAGACTGTTGGAGTCAGCCTCCCCACCTTCACAAACATCTACACCTCCAGATGCAGGAAGAGAGCCACCTGCATCATGAAGGACCCCACTCTCCCAGCACACACACTTTTTGCCCCACTCCCCTCAGGAAGGAAGTTAAGGAGCATTAAGTGTAGAACCACTAGACTGAGGAACAGCTTCTACCCTGAAGCTGTTCGACTCATGAATCCATCCATCCATTATCTTTTACCCGCTTCTTCCATTTTGGGTCACGGGGGTCACCGGTGCCCATGTCTGGCAATCACTGTGGGAGGGGCGGGGTACACCTTGGACCGGTCGCATCCCTAATTGGTATAATCACTGTGACCAAAAACATCATTGTAATGCCACTTGATTGTTGATATGTACTGCTGACTATCCATGCTGCTGATTTCATGCTGCTGATTTATTTAATGCTGCTGTATTCATTCGTATTCAATGGCATAGTTTTTATACTACTAGTGCTTAGCATATTCTTAGTTTAACATATTTCTTAGTTCATATCTTAGATCTTATTACTGTTTTTATTGTACAATTTATACTTATGCTGGATATAAATGGGACCCTGTGTACAAAATTTTGTTCCACCATATGTACCACATATGATGTGAATGACAATAAAGAAACCTTTACCTTGACATCACTGCCATCTTTTAAATCTTAAACTTTTTAAGATTATCTTATGTTTAGAAATGATGATGTTGTAACCATTTTGGTCAAAATGTAAAAACAGAATTATGTGCAGTCTCATGCGATATCAAGAAATGTCAGGCTCAGAGTATTGTAGTGAATGACTCTCAGCTGCTGCCACAACAAATTTTAGCCCAATATCCAAAACATTTGACTAAGTTAAAGCCATTTTTTGGTAAATAATCTCAATAAGTAGTGGTCACTTACTTGAATTAAATTGATAGGTTATAGGTATACAGGCAGCACGGTGGTGCAACTGGTAGAGCTGCTGCCTCTCAGCGAGCAGGTCCTTGGTTCAAACCCCGGTCCAGGGGCCTTCTGGGTGGAGTTTGCATGTTCTCTCTGTGCATGCGTGGGTTTTCTCCGGGTGCTCCGGTTTCCTCCCACAGGCCAAAAACATGCATGTTAGACTGACTGGTAACTCTAAATTGTCCCTAGGTGTGAGTGAGAGAGTGAATGGTTGTTTGTGTCGTTTGTCTCTATGTGGCCCTGTGATGGACTTGCGACTCGTCCAGGGTGTACCCCACCCCTCGCACAGTGATTGCTGGACATGGGCACCAGCGAACCCCGTGACCCAAAATGGAATAAGCGGGTAAAGATAATGGATGGATGGATGGTTATAGGTATACATCTGATAATTCTTCTTTTGACTGTTCTCTTGTCAGAGTTTGCCGCAGCAAGTCATCCTACTCTGTCCTCTCTCCAGCTATCTCAATGTCCTCTGGCATCTTCATCTACCAATATATCCACTGTCCCTCCTCTGGACATGTCCAAACCATCTCAGTCTGACCTCTCTAACATTGTCTCCAAGTTGTTCCTCCTGTTACTCCTAATGCAAGATTCAACACACTCAGCTCTGCTGTTTCCATTTCTGTGTCTGTCTTTTTGTCAGTGTCACTGTTTCCAAATCGTACAACAAAGCTGATCTCGTCATTGTCTTGTACACTACTGGAACAATTTCCCCAACAGACAGAGTTGGCTTTAACAGTTATTGGCAAAGTTTAACAAACGATATTTCACAGTCTGTTAGCACTTGGAGTATGTGTTGTTAGAGCTGACTACAAAACTTCATCTGTTGTAGATTTGCATCCAGTGATTACTTTTTAGAGTTTTATTAAACTTTTACCAATGGTTCACAAGATATTTTGGTAACAAATAGGCACACAAACGGGTAGCACGGTGGCACAACTAGTAGAGCTGCTGCTTCTTAGCGAGAAGGTTGACGGATCAAATCCCGGTCCTTGGGCTTTTCTGGGTGGAGTTTGCATGTTCTCTCCGTGCATGCGTGGGTTTTCTCCAGGTACTCCGGTTTCCTCCAAAAGACCAAAAGCATACATGTTAGGCTGATTGGTAACTCTAAATTGTCCCTAGGTATGAGTGAAAGAGTGAATGTTTTGTTTGTCTCGTTTGTCTCTATGTGGCCCTGTGATGGACTTGCGACCTGTCCAGGGTGTACCCCGCCCCTCGCACAGTGAATGCTGGACATGGGCACCAGTGACCCCCGTGACCCAAAACGGAAGAAGTGGGTAAAGTTAATGGATGGATAGGCACACAAACATACAAACGTACACACAGGCAATTGTCTACTTTTGCCTTGGCAGCAGGTGAAAATAAACAATAATATTAATAATTTAAGGAGCTCAGTAGTCTTTGTCTTCATTTACATTTTTGGAATTATTTTTCTAGGCAAAATGGCTTTAGTCTTGTTTTTTCTTTTATTGTGTTAGGTGATGTTGTAACTAAATCACATCTCATTGTATGTGCTGATAAATACAAAAAAAAAAAGTCAATTTTGCATCTTTTAAGAGAAATTCTTGAATATCATATTTCTAAAATCTGAAGAGAACATGGACACACTAACTCTGTTTTTCTGTTTTTCAGGAAATATGGTGAGCAAAGACGACACCAAATGTGCTGTTCTCTCAAACTCAGATGAATCTGATTCAGAAACAGGCCAATCACACACTGCATACTCTGAACCAGAATCAGGCAAACAGCAAGTAAAGAAAAAGAACAAAGCCCTACAAGTGCGTTTTAAGGACATCTGCAAAGCTCAGAACGAGCATCTGGGAAGACACTCACGATCCATTTCCTGCAAAGTAACCCACAGAAAGTACATGACCATGCCTGCCAGACGCTCTATTCCAAATGTGACCAAGAGCACTGGTGTTCAGACCTCCCCCGACCTCACTATGCGATACAAGACATTCCCATTTGAGAGAAAAAAAGGACATACGTTTAAACATACTGCTTTGGTAGAAGATTACAAAGGACAAAACAATGGGTTTTTGAGTGATATAAAAGCAGGAGGAGAGGATGTACAAGCAACTAGGGAGACTTCTAAGTACAAGGGTAAGATTGTAGGCCTGACAAAAGTCCTGCTTCACCACACTAATGATAGCAGCGACATGGATGATTTGCTTTCCAGTGCCAACTGTGTGGATGGACCCTCATGTCCAGAGTCTTTACCTTTCATGGACGAGAGCCATCCAAGTGGAACTTCTAAAGATGAACCTGAGTACCAGGTTTGTGGGAAATATACCAAACATAAAGGATTGTCCAAAGAAGACAAGGATGGTAGCACTTCTTCAAAACGTCAACTGGTGGATTCTGAGATTTCACAAGACAAACCAAAGGGTCCAGTTGTATGGAACTCACTGACACATGTGGAGTCTATAGAGAGCCCCTCTGGAAGCTGTAAACGGAAAAAGGGTACGCAGTTAAATGAACAGCAATCACAGACGTTTCCTCATAGTGCCAAATGTTCTGTGCAGTCGCAAGGGAAGTGTCGGACAAGGCATTTGTCTGCTTCATCAAAACTCCAGCAATCAGTTGGGGTGGAAGGGAGCTTTCCACAAGGGGGTACAAAGGCCCCAGGCATGGGGAGCAGCCAGCAAATATTGACCTCATCTGGAGACAAAGATATCAAAGCACAGCTGGAGGCAATGGAGAGTCTCATCAACTCAAGCCAGGAGACCATCAAGGTTCTTCTTGGAGTTATTCAGGAGCTTGAGAAAGGTGAAGCGCAGAGAGAAGGGTGAGTGGAGGGAGTTTTACTGCATTTTCCCTTAACACATGCCATGCACACTGTGAATTGACATTTTAAGCAACATAAACATAAACTAATATACAGTATCATATCCATCTGTTATAATTTCTGCTGCAGTTTCATTTTTGGGCAGCACTAAAATGTCCTCAACACAAACAGTAGCTGATAATGGTTTTGAAAACAATAATTTTGTTAAAAACTTGAGAAATAAGTAAATGCTGGCACTTTAAATTGTTTTTTTTTAGTTTATTTTTCTTTATCCTTTATTTATACAGGTAGTCTCATTGAGTCAAGAGAACTCGTTTTCAAGAGAGACCCGGGAGCAAATTGTGGGGGTCAAGGGCCTTGCTCAAGTGCCCAGAGTGGGGTAAATTAGGGTGGAGGCAGGTGTGGGTGTTTCATCTTTTCCACCCGCATTTTGATGTTGTCAGTCTTGGGGGTTGAACCTGTGACTTTCCAATCACAGGCCCATCTTCTCTAACCTCTGTGCCACCACTACCCAAACATCCAAAATGTATTTTTGTTATTTTAATCTCTGTATAAAAAAAAAAGTGACAGTAACAAACTCTCTCGGGGAATAGCAGATGCATTTCAGGAATTTGGGATGTTGGCTCAAATGGACGAATGCAAAGTTGAATAATTTTAAAATTCAAAAAATATATATTTTATAAAAGTCTATTTCAAGCTTGTATACCTTTTTGAAAGCTGTTGTTTGTTCTTTGTAGATTTAATGTGACCCACATGTAATCAATCAACCTTGGCGAGCCTGATATTGCTACAAAATGTCAATTATCTTTCACCTGATGGATTCAAAAACTGAAGCAGTCTATAAAATAACAACCAATTAAAATTTTATGTAAATTTGGCAACGTTATTAAAACAAGAAACCTAAACACTGCAAACTATTTTAAGCAAGGTTGAAAATCTTTGCTCAAAGTTAATTAGGAGATTAATTAGTTAAAAATTAATTAGGAATTTTGACGTGCAAGTAAAATAAGGAATAATTGAGTCTTCATTGACCAATGTCAATGTTCTGCAAGACACTATAAACAGCAGATTAATTGATGACAGATGGTGCTATATGAATAGGACAAGAAAGGAGTAGCTACGGAAGGCTTGGTTTATGTGAGCACTGATAGGCTCTGTGTCAATCTTTTGAAAAGTAACAATAAAAATCAGTTAAGTTGCAAAGAGATTAGATACACGGAACAGCTACAGCATATAATATTGCATGAAATAATGCAAAAAGTGTAAATCTCACCAAATAACTGCAAATGTTGGAAACTACAATTATGTGTGTAACTCACGTATTATCAGGAAAACCTCATGCCGCTGTGATCAGAATAATCACAAACTGAAAACCATCTGTCACTCAACATGTGTCTTTATCTCTTTAAACAATTGTAACCTTAAACTTTATTATGTAACGTAAGTCATATATCATCTTTGCACTGGAATGCTGCCAAATCTGGGCACAAACTCTTCCCAACCCAACTCAAAGATAGTGTTGCACGTTTAGTCTTTTAGGTTGTTTTTAGAAAAAATAGACAAGTTTAATTGTATATTTAAAAAAATATCTCAAAGCTTTCATCATCACAAAGTGCAAAAGCCAGTCTCTCTGATTGTATTACCGTACATTTATGCCCAAAGCAACAACTTATTTGTGAGATGCTATGTGTTGATTTTCATGTTTAAATCAAGTAAGCAAAATTTATCTTCAACGTTTTTTACTTAAGGTCATGGTTTTGCATCTTTGTTTTAGTTCTGGTGGAGTTTAATTTTTGTTGTTCCTTGTGTTGTAATCATAAATGTAATCATGAATAGGACTTGTTTTGATTGTTTGGGTTATTCTGTTGAAATGTGATCTTTGGTTTGTTCTCGTCATGGTCATAAAAACTACGTTAGGCTTTTAAAGAAGCCTTTTAGTTAAGGCAGATGGAACATCAGTTTATTTATTTTCACTTAAACTGAAAATCGGCTATTGTACAAACATTAGCCATACCATGATTGACACCCACCTAACATTAACTCCCCTTTCACAAACAAAACTCAAGGACAAATAACACTTGAGGGTGATTATTAGCAGTTGATCTTAGAACATCAGCTGAAGGCCTTTTAGATCGTGAATGGTGAGTACTGACTTTAATTCTACCAAAGACCACTGTATGTTTAACTGGAAACATTTAAAAGAGTAAATACATTAGTTAATTGGAGTCCTCAAAACATATTCACAGCTGGACTTTCATGGCACAATAAATTTGAGCTTTAAAAAAAACATGGAAAGCTTTTATTTATTGGTCTGATTCGTATCCAGTGAACAACAAGGCACCTACGTTGCTTTGTGGAACTTTATTTTAAAGATCCAATTAGTGCGGCCTCATAACATTTTGCCTTTCATCGCCACAAAACTATGCTTGCTTCGTTGTGTTCTGCCTGAGGTCTGAATCAGAGAGGTGCAATTGTAGAACAAAACAGACTAGCTCATTCAAAAATGGTCGTTTCTGAGTTTGCATGGCTTGGCTGTAAAAAGAGTTTCCTCAATGTTAGGTTCAAGGTTCTTTATTGTCATTCGCATCACATCTGGTACATGAGGTGGAATGAAATTGTGTACCCAAGGTCCCAGTTATACCCAAAAATAGCAAAATCAGAGAGTCAGAGTCAGAGTCAGAGTTTCTTTATTGTCATTCGCACCTCATGTGGTACATGTGGTGGAGCGAAATTATGTACACGGGGTCCCAGTTACATCCAACAATAAAATGTATAAGAAAAACAGTAATAACATCTAAGATATGAACTAAGAAAAACATCAACTAAATATACACTAAGCACTCATAACATAAAACATTGAACATCAGCACAAACATGAACATGAGTATGTGAGCAGATGAGCACGCATGAACACATCAACATTGAAACAGATCAGCAGCAACATGAAACAGATCAGCAGCAACATGATATGGTTTTTCACAGTGATTATTCTAGTTAGAGATTCATGAGTCTAACAGCCTCAGGGTAGAAGCTGTTCCTCAGTCTAGTGGTTCTACACTTATATTCCACACATATTTGTGTGTTCCACACAAATATGAATATAAAGTATAAAAAGAAACAGTATATAAGGATCTAAAGTGTCTTTACAGTGTTTTATTTTTATTTATTTATCTTTTTACCTGGTTAGGGATTCATGAGTCAAACAGCTTCAGGGTAGAAGCTGTTCCTCAGTCATAGTGGTTCTACACTTAATGCTCCGCAACCTCCTGCCTGAGGGGAGCGGGGCAAAAAGTGTGTGCTGGGTGAGTGGGGTCCTTCATGATGCAAGCGGCCTTCTTCCTGCATCTGGAGGTGTAGATGTCTGTGATGGTGAAGAAACTGACTCCAACAGACTTCTGTGCAGCCTTCACCACTCTCTGCAAAGCTTTTCTTTCTGCAGCTGTGCAGCCTCCATGCCACACGTTGATGCTGGAGCACAGGATGCTCTCCACTGCACACCTGTAGAAGGAGGTGAGGACTGAACATCCTAGTCCAGCCACCTCAGTCATCTGAGGAAGTAAAATCACTGATGTGCCTTCTTGATCTGACTGGTAGTGTTGTTAACTGGTTTTTTTTTATATATATATTTTCAATTGATCATTAAAGCATATCTCCTGTAAGCACCACTAAATAAATTATGTTCTTTCACATTGCTTATAGCATGTCATCAATCTTTTTTCTCATTGTACCTTTCCACCTCTCACTAAAAAAAGGCAGAAACAGAGCGTGGACCAGCTTGCTTGATCATAAACTTGTTCAAATTAAATGTTAGAAAGATGTGAAGTTATATATCCAGGATATTTTTTAACATTTTTTTATAAACAAAAAACGTTAAGTTTGCAATAGTAGATGTTCTACAGATCAAATCATATTGATAGATGACTTTTTAAAAGGAGAACAAGTAATTTATGGTAATTATGGTAAATATTTAAAATGCAATCCTTTGCATGAGGCTAGCCCAGCTGATCCTGATTTTGCACTAAAATGATAAAGAAAAGAAAATGACTATAGTTTTCTGTAGGCAGCACGGTGGCGCAACTGGTAGAGCTGCTGCCTCTCAGCGAACAGGTCCTTGGTTCAAACCCCGGTCCAGGGGCCTTTCTGGGTGGAGTTTGCATGTTCTCTCCGTGCATGCGTGGGTTTTCTCCGGGTGCTCCGGTTTCCTCCCACAGACCAAAAACATGCATGTTAGGCTGATTGGTAACTCTAAATTGTCCCTAGGTGTGAATGAGAGAGTGAATGGTTGTTTGTCTCTATGTGTCCCTGTGATGGACTTGCGACCCGTCCAGGGTGTACCCCGCCCCTCGCACAGTGATTGCTGGACATGGGCACCAGCGACCCCCGTGACCCAAAATGGAACAAGCGGGTAAAGAAAATGGATGGATGGATAGTTTTCTGTTGGGCTACAGATGTTTGATAATGGTAAAAATCAGGATGATTGAACTTGCAAATTGTGTGACAACTATTTAACTTGATTACTGTTGTTGTTGTTGATAACTATGTTTTACATTAATAAGGTGAACTAAAATAGCTTGTATAAAAAAAGATGTAAAGACTGTGAACAACAAGGTAACTAAGTCAAAAAAGAGGTCTTAAGTAGAGGGCTTTTGGCGGCTGTGTTGCAGGGTTATGTGATATAAGGCCAAACTGACTTTGACAACCAGTTAAATGACAACCTTTAGGCATTAAAAGCAGAAAGGAGAAAATAAAAACAAATAAGAAACACTGTCATTAGATTTATATGAGCAAGTTTACTCATATTTTGACTTTAACTCCTTTCATGAATCTTGCTCAAGAACAAAAAACCTCACTTTAAGCTATTTTGGTCAAAGCTTAGCTAAACTATCCCTGTGTTTTAGTGCACTGTCAGAAAACTGTTGCATTGTGTTTATTATGTAGATGAAAACTAATGGCAACCATACCTCAGCTCATTTCTCAAGTTTCTTGCTTTCCTAATTGAAAACCAAAAATCCCAACAGCTGGATTAAAATAATCATCTTAAGAAAGCTTTAATTAAAACAAAAAAACTTTTCAGAGGGGGCTCTGATTTCAACAATGATGTCTGGAGTTACATGTAAGCACATTTAAATCGTTGACAAAATGTGATGAAATCCATCTTTTTTTTTTTTTTTTACTATTCTTGTGTTTTAAAATATCACACAAGTAAACATTAACGCCTCTGTGCCCAAGTTGACAAAGACTATCAGTGATAAATATTATGCAACTGTCATCATTACGCATTGAAAATGACATAAAGGATAACTCTGGTGTTAGAGTGGCCTATTATACAAAGGTGAAAGCAGGTTATTAAGTGAGAAATGTACAAAATTTGGGATAAAAAGTGAACAGTAAAATGAGTCATCCTCGACAATACTGTCAACAATCTGTAATAGTAATATTACAGGACTTAACCTCTTAATCTTTTTTATTTTTTTATTAAGCCCTCAAAGGGTTCACTTTTATGACATAATGTTTCTTTTCACTCTTTTTTTATCCATCAAAAGCACTTTTTTTTTTGCTTGCTTCTTTTTTTAATAAAACCTTGTGACAAAATCCTTTTAGGGGGAATTTCCTTATATTACTGTTCCTCACATGCTCAATGATCCTGATATAAAAATGGACTGAATCACAAGATTTGCTTGTTTTTTTGTTTGTTTTGCATCTTTCTTGTTGGAGACCTTTAAATTACATCACCAGAAAAGGAAGTACAAAAAGCCCATTTGCCCACATAAATGTTTCGATTCTCTAAAGGTTTTCCAAACCTAAGCAAAATTAAACTAATGACTTTCAATGCTCTTTTGAATTATCCAGACAGACAGACAAACTTTTTTAACATGAAAATCTCATTAAATGCTTAAGCACAATCCTTCCTAGTGTGTGTGTGTGTGTCTGTGTTGGGGGGGGGGGGGGGGGGGGGGTGGAAATAATGCAAATATAGGTTGAAAAAAAAAAATTTTAAAATTTAAATATCACACAAC